TATATAGTATATATATATATATATATATATATATATATATATGTATATATATATATATATATATACACATGTGTGCATGTATATAAACGAGTTAGAATTTTGAAAGAGACGACCGACCCCTCGACGATCGCACCCCCTACGGGGTGACCCCGTTCACCCCGTTTGAACGCGTGCCATCGCCTCTATCGAATGGGAGGGAAGCGTCGAGAAGCGTTCGAGAAGGGATCGGATCGAGGAGGGTGGACAGATGGGGGGCGTATCTCGGTCGACGCCTCTCTGCATATCTCCGCAACGCTTTTCCAACCCCGTGCACTCCGCGGCTAAGTGCCCGTATGACCACCGCCGTCTTCCTTGGTCGCGCCGATTCGCTTTCTGCCCGCCGATGCGATCCGACCGCCCATTTCACAGGGGGAGAACCGCTAAAGAGAAAAATTATAGCAATAAACCAGCCAGTGCACCGTGTCACGCGGGGGTAATCGTCGCGGAGTCGGTGTTGCGGGATGGGTCCACGCAACAATAACGTGTTATTATTGGCCATTGTCGTTACGCGACCAGTTGCGCGATCATAAAAGGAAAAAAAAAAAAATGCTTTATCGGCTCGCCGTGTTTTTTTCGCTCTTATCCCTCGATTTCGTATTCTTCCCCCCCTCCCCCCCCGAAAAAAAACCGTGGTCCCTCTCTTCCTCTCTTCAAACGTCCTTTCCGACGGAGAATAAATCAGGCGCGGGAATCAGTTTTTGATAACGAAAAATAACATCGAAGCGAGACGGGATTCGGGATTTGAATTTGAATTTCCTCCATCCGGAAATTCCCGGCATCCCGGCCCCCGATGATGAAATATTTTTCCAGTGGCTGGTATATACCAAACTCCGGCAAACTATGTTAATTCCCCTATAAGAGCTGGTAACGCGATTAGGACAACGCGAAACGTAATTATCCGAGGCGGAGAATCAGCCCGTGGCGCGGCGTCCTGGAATTACGAATCGACGGAGCACGGGCGGGAGAGAAGCGAGCCGAACAACACGAGGGGGGGCGAAAGGAGGACGAAGGAACGTCTGGTCCGTGCTTGACGCTGATCTAAGACGATCGCGCCACGGGGGGAAAAAGAAGAAAAGGAGAAAAAATTTCGCGCGCATCGAAGTGTGTCGATCGAAATATACAACGCCGTTCGATGATCCCACGGCAAACTGAAATATCAACGCGGTATATAATATTTACCTAGAAACGTGCAAATAAATGGACGCTCGACATTGAAATTGCTTGACGCGAAATCAAATTATTTGACATCAAAGTTAAACGAACGGTTTGAAATATCCATTGTGCGCGCGAAATTAAAAACGAAAAGGAATATTAAACGAGAGCGGCAAACAAATTTATACGTGGAAAAAAAAGGGGAGAGAGAGAGAGAGAGAGAGAGAGAGAGAAAAGAAATACAGAAGGAAGAAACGAGTTGGAGGGAAGGGGAGGGGGAACAAATTTTGAAACAAAAAACGACAAACAAAAACATTACAAAATTCGTATTTTTCCTCGTTGGCGGGGAGAGAATTTACGTTGGCCCGATCGAAAATCACCTTCGACGGAGGGAGGGGATAGACACACACGGTCGGTGATTTTCGAAGCTATCCGTGGACGACCCTAAGGGCGTCGTCGGGAATCGGCGTCGTCATCGTACCGATGGACCGTAATAGTAGTACCTGTTGTTAATAAAAACACGAGGTCAAACGTGGCGTAACATCAAGGGAGCGAGGGAGGGGATGGGGATGGGGGAGGGGGTTCGGAGCGAAGTGTGATTTCAGTGGAGTGTACTCTGTCATGCGCCAGGTGCCGGAGGATGGATCCTCGTGTCCACGGGGGTGGAAGAGGGCGAGGGCGGTGCTGATTGCAACGCTAGGAAGTTCTAACGGGTGTTGGCGAGGTTCACGGGTTGATCGCGAGAAGTCAAGTGGGGACCGCCACTTGTAGCTAGGACGTTGGAGGTGTGCAACCCGGTTATTTTCGAGGCCTGGCTTCACCCCAATCGTGGTGGGTATTAAACCTCGCTTCGTCGCAACCCCGTTTTACGGTTTACGGACCCTTTCCATCCCCGTGAATTCGACCCCCGTGTACACGGGGTCGGCTGGTGGCCCGCACACACACACACACACACACACAGCCGCCCCGAATCGAGACGGAGGCCGCCGCCACCCAAGGATTTCGGAAGAAATATGAACGGAGATGTTTTATGAATGCGCCCACCATGGCTAAAAGAGAAAGAGAGAAAAAAGCGGAACAAACCTTTCATTCTTCGTACGCGAGAATATATATTTTGCAAGAGCGCGCGAGGGTGGTAGTAAAAAAAAAAAAAAAGGAAGCGATAAAAGTAAAAGGAGAATCGATGTATCTGGAATAAATAAATAAATAAATAAATAAATAATTGTCGACGACTCGGAAAGATCGGATCTTACGCGAGAAGAAGCTATCGCGAAGTTTCGATAACCGTCCACTATTACTATCGACTTCGTAACTCCTCCAATTCCACTTCCACTTCTTCACGTTCTTTCGGGAGGAACGTTCGCCACCTGTTCGCCCACCTGATCGCATCCTCTCTTTCTCCCTTTCCTTCCACACAAATTGTTACGTTGACGTTTCGATACGATGGGAGGGAGGGGAGTAATATTAGGCGAAGGGGGGTGAAAATCTAGCGAAGAAGAAGTGTACGGGGGAGGGTGACTGGTCGAGATTGCGTGCGTTTACAAAGCAAATGGCTTGAAAATAACCGAGCGGTGTGCCCCGTGGGCTCCGCGGGGAGAAAGCTTTCGATAGACGTACGAGGGGGTCGTAGGCCGAGAGAAAAAGACGGGGGAGGGGGAAAATCGAGAGAGGGATGGAGACACGTTGTACGACGAGAGTCAGAGGGGCCGGGGGGAGGGAGTGAGGGTGAAGTGAAACCACCCACCGGTGGCAGAGAATCGAGAAGAGTCCCCCTCTCTCCCCCGTCGTAAGGAGGGAGAGAAACGAACGAGACGGAAGTGAGACGGAAGAACTGGAGGGGGGGAGGGGCGAGGTGGGGGGGAGGAGGGGGGGTCAGGAAGGGGTGGTATAATCGATGCGGACATGTGCAGTTCCCTCGGGGGTAGCAACCCCTAACTCGCCAAACCTATTTATACAACAATACCCGGTACAACCCCCCATAAACCACCCTCACGCTGCTGGACCGCCGTGGCTGCTGTTGCTGTTGCTGTTGCTGCACACTCCACCGCCCTTCACCCTCGTCCCTCTCTCTCCTCTCTTCCTCCCTCTCTACCCTCGGTTTATAATCAACCCCTCTTTTTCTCTCTCTCTCTCTCTCGTTCTCTTTCACGCCGTCTTTCACCCTCCTAGATGCACGAACAGTTTATCTTGGGGCCCACGCGGCGAGGACTGGTATTTTAAATAGCAAATACTTATCTCGCTCCCGGGTCAGGGGTGGAAGTACCGATAAGCGGGTTCGAGAGGGTAGATACGCGCACGCGACCGTATCGAAAAACGACAAGACGAAGAAACGCGTGACGGGGGAGGAGGAGAGAGAGAGAGAGAGAGAGACTTCTCTCGGCGTTATATTCGAACGCGGAGGGACCGCGCGAGCGATCGTATTTATGATCTATCCGATATCGCGGTAGGAAGAATTCAAAGGTTCGGGGTGTCGAACTTTGAAAATTCCTCGCGTACACCCACCCACGCGCGAGATAAAGCGATCCACAGCGTACGTTATTTACATACGTCGCCGAGTGTCCCGGTAATAGGAACGCCGTAAGAACTTCCGTTCCGTGCAGACGTCTCCGTGTAGAAGATGCGTGTATTCTGGTGCGCGCGTGATTCAGCGGATCGAGCGGATCAAACCGGTGGTGGACAAACCGGAGCAATTAGCATAAGTATATTATTTATGAGGATCGTATCTTCCTTGGAAACAGGGACGGGGAAGTAAGTGGAAAATTCTTCGAAGGGAGAATCGAGGATGGCCACTTTTACGAGAAATTTGTAAAAACGGATCGAGAGATCCTTAATGCGCGAAGAAAAAAAAAAAAAGAAATATGCGCTATCGCTGTTACACGACGTGGGGGCAGCCGTAAGAGTGGAGCAGCAGCTGAGGCACGAGTAATCCGGATTTCGGATTAGCCTAAGCCCGGCCCGAACACCGGGAGGTCGTTCTGGACGCTTCTGCGTCCGTCTGTCCGCTCGAAAATAAGTTCTGGCCTGCTACACGCCACGAAAAGACACGTTTCATCCGTGTTCGTCGCTCTCCTCCTCGATCGGTGACAACGACCGGTAGACGTTTCCATTGTGCGCCTGTTCGTCGTCGTCGTCGTCGTCCTTGTCCTTGTCTTCCCGCTTCTCCCCCGTTTCGACTCCTCGTCGAATTTATATGGTTCCAGGAACGGCCGGTTCGCGGAAGAATCGAGCCACGCGTGTTTATTCACGACAATACTCGGAATTCGAAGGGTTTTTCCACAAAGAGGAGGGCAATAATTAACCGTGCCGATACTGCTCAATAATTACTCGTAATTAAAACGTTGATCGTGCTCGTTGCCGATCGTCCGTCTTATTAAACCCGATACAAAGAGAGGGCGATCGTTGACGCGAGAACGTTAACGGGAAGCTGCACAACGGTGCAACAATCGATCCTGATTTCCCGAGGAAATCACGGCGATCAAACGGCAATAGCGAGGGTTAATTGGTAGCTTTGCCACGTTAATTCGAGGCAGTGACGAGCGGTAGGGTTGGAACGTGCGCGGTAAGCCGGCCACGATTTGTAAGGCCTCCTTGCGTAATGATAGGAGAAGAACGAGGGGTTCTGCGCGACAGGGGCTTGTTTCCCGACACGTGCTCCGCCACGTGAATGTTCGAAACACGCTTTCGACGCGATCCCCTCTTCGGGATTCTCAGCCTTCGAACGCATTCCCTTCTAACCCCCGCGAGAAAAATCTCTCTCGAACGAGTTAGTTCGCTCCCGGATAAATTTCTCTCTTTTCGAACATCGTTGAAAAAGAGAGAGAGAGAAAGAAACAAAATATCTCCTCTCAAAAAAGGATGGACTAATTGGTCGATCGAAATGGAATGAAAATGGAATCGCGATCGGTTGCGCGAGAATTCGTGGTGGGCTGAAGAACGCTCGAACGAGAGGGTAACAAAAATGATACGGTAGGGTGTATACCGACCCGCTGGGACGGTTTGTCTCTGCAAGACTCCCGCGAGACCCCCGTGGTAGTTCCTGGGGCGCGGAGGCGGGCACGCATCTGTCGAATCTCCCGATGGATCTTCTGCAAGAGATCCGTCAGGACACGTATTACACGCTACACCGGCGCCCTTCGTCCTCCGTTTCGAATCACTGTTACAATGTACACACGGTGCACTCTGATCGCTACTCTATCACGGTTAAAATTCCACGATAAACTCCCGCGAGGACGCGGCTCCGTAGCTCGTCGGGGGATCGAAGGATTTAGAGAAAAAAACGAACTATTCTATTCTCCCGATCATCATCGTCTTCTCGTGGAAAAAATTTGGATCGAAAAAATTGACAAATAATAGTTACCGAACGATAATTTTGATTTTCGATATCGTCGATTTTTCTGAACTCGCGTTCAAGAAATATAGGAAGAAGAGGACCGTGTAATAAAAAAAAGAAAGAAAGAAAGAAAGAAAGAAAGAAACACGTTGAGACGCGAGGAGAAGATAAAAGAAAGGAGGAGAACAAGTGGTTGGCAGTCGGAGATCGTGGAGAAGACAAACGGGCGGGTGCAATATTAAAAAGGTGGTCGACCACGTTCTCGCGCCGGTGAAAAATAAACAGGTAGGTAGGTGGGGACGGGAACGGTAAACGTAGCGAGACCGCGCTACGTACGTACTTAAGGGAGGCACACTTGTCGGGAACGATCGTCGAGGGTCGATATCGCGTGTGTACACACGTTTGTATCGTGTAACACACGGAGAGAGGCAGCGTACGTAGGCAGCATCGTTCCTACCCCCAACGGGACTGTCAGAGATACGGGAACGGCGAAGCCCCGAGGAAGCAACGCAACCCCCCCGTAGGCAGAAACACATCAAAATCGAATTCACCAGATGTCCAGGAAAACGAATCTCCCGCACACCCTCTCCTCCTTCTCCTCCTCCTTCACCTCCTCCTCCTCCTTCTCCCCGCCCCCATCGTCCTGGAAAACGACGTTGCACCCGTTGTTAACGATGTTAGGCCAGCGCCCCGAGTCGCAGATGCGTTTGCGGACACCGATTTAAGGGGGGTGAATGGGGGGGCCGAAGCCGAAGGATTCATCGAGTACGTATCGATAGTCTCAGGTGTTTGTCCCCGCTGGGGAACGGATGAAAGAAACCGAGATTTCGGCTCGGGAAAACGTGTTGTCTGATTTCGAAAAAACAGAAGCGCGATAAATGTGGATATTTGCAATTTCGCGCGATTTAATTCGAGAAACGGGTAAAGTGAGATTTACTTACCGTTGCGATGATCTTGGCGTCGATAGATTTCTTTCTTTTCTTTTTTTTTTTTTTAAGCGTGTGGAAAAAGAGAGATAAAAAGAGAGGCAAAAAAATGCACACAACTGTACGTATACGGAAATACGAGGTGGTTTATTATAATAATATTTATAATCATTATGCATCGAGGCGGCGTGTCTCTTTCTCTCGTGTGTGTGTGTGTGTGTGTGTGTACGTTTTTAATGCAAGTTACAATTACAGACACAGTTCGGTGACAGAACTCAGCCAACTGATGGTTGTCGCGCGCTTCTCTCGCAAAAAAAAAAAAAAAAAAAAAAGAACAGATTTATTATTTACATCGATCGCCACCTTAACAGTTACAGGTTACACATTCCTATTTATATTTATATTTTATTGATAAATAGTACAGCGGTTTCTTTAAAATGTAGAATTTACGCATGTGTACTGAATGTCGCCTGTATGTGTACCTGTTG